TGTTTTAGAATAATCAAAATTGAAACGGACATTATAAATTTTTCTTTTTTCGGGCTGCATTAATTGTACAATATTCTCCACTAAAAACTCTTTTATTGAAGCCAATGAATATCATTCATTAACTACAAGTTACATCACATTTCACGTAATGTGATAAATCGGGAATAAATTTATTACAAGTAACGTAATTTCTTTTTTATTCTAGTCTTTATCGTATTCCAATATAGCAATTAACGAACGTTATAGTCTTACAAGATTTTTCTTATGTAATTTTTCATTGACTATTATGATCCATACAAATCCTGCTCTTAAAAATAACAGACATTTTCGATAGACTACATTGTTAAATCTGTAGTGTCAAATTTAATTTAACGTGAGTCGCCATTGCTCCTACTTAATCACATCGTTATTTTATACTAAAACAATAGCTATATTTGACACTATATAGTGTCAAATTGACACAATATAGTATCAAATTTAACTATCGTTTTGATAAAAAATAATGATATATTTAGTATGAGCAGTGGCGACTCACGTTAAGTTAAATTTGACACCATAGATTTAATAGTGTAATTGAAACGTATAGTGTGTTTTGAAAGCGATGTTCGTTTTTCTAAATTCTTAAAGAAAAGGGAGTGATTTATATGAATAATAGAGAAAAACTCTTTATGGTAGCGAATGTGCTGAGATATAAGCATTCCGATCGTGGACAGACTGTAATAATGGAATTTCGCGAACAATCAATCGGAAAGCAATTAACGGAGGCGATCGTCGGCGAACTTCCCACCAAATTTCCTGTCGCGTTCACTCGTGAGAAAAACGTCTATTGGGTAAACGGAACCGCGTAATTTTGTTGCAACAGTTGCATCGAGTGCAATGTACTCTGTAGGTTCGATGGCGCCGCTTACATTTTACTTAAGTACGTGACGTAAGTAAAATGTGCGAATGTAATTAAAAGCATGAATTATTTTACAGTTTTAAAAAAGCCGCTTTTTTCAAATTGCTGGAAAAAAACAGGAAAAATTTCGGTTTTTTCCGAAAAATTGCTGTGAAGTGGAGTTTATGCCGAGAACGATAAAAAATTTTTAAGATTTCAAATTTCGAAATTTTTTGGTAATACAGTCGGTAATACAGACGGCTTTAGGATCCCCTTAATGATGCAATAGCGTATGTTTCGTATGTTTTATTAAATACATTATGCGACCTCAATCTTTTGTACAATTTTAAAATATTTCTGTTATCCCGCTGTGTACCCTATACGCAATTATTTTCTTTACGGAAAGAACCGAGAAGCAAACGTGATAGGTTTTACGAGCACGCGTGAATTTTTCCAAAATGAATGTTTCTACCCTTGGGAAAAAAAACCGAAAAAATCCGCGGAAAAATTGAGTATTTTTCCGAATCTTTAAAATTATAAATTATTTTAATATTTCACATTCTTTTAAATATAATAATTTTATTTCTCTGTTTAAAACAAAAATGCGCAAAAATATAATATAAAAGATAACAAGAAATGTTAACTGTATTTTTTCGTGTCTTGCAGAAAAACTAGAAGAAAAACTAACAATCCTCGTATTTGTTAAAATAAAAAATGACCGTTACTTATATGTAATTTATTTTGCGTGAATGTTACGCATCGTTTATGCACGTTATATTTATATAGATAACGCTCGGTTCGAAATACTTTTGCCATGACACAAAACCTTTACGTAAGATTAAACTAATGATAAATCATAACTGTCCCCAAAATTCTTTATGATTTATGGATAATTTTACCGTATTTTTCTTTCACAATGCCTTCTCTCCGTATTTTATAAGCCCGACACGAAATGTATTCCGCGCAATTCCACGCGAAATGAGATATTACCTTTAATACGGGTATGGCACTGTAAACAGTTTGAACTTGAGATTGTCGAGATAAATTTGCAACCAGTGTGCAAGCTTTTCACCTCGTAATTTTTCGATGGGACGATAAATAAATTTTACATGTAATATAAGTTATGTTATTATTTCTATAAATAATTAAAAATATCACCAAAAAATTATGACATTTATTTAACTTTTATATTTTTAATGATTAAATAACTAAAAATTTTCTTTCTCATCTTGTATATACAGGGTGTTTCATTTTAAGTGATATGGTCGATTATCTCGCGAATCAATGATTTTATTGAAAAATATACCGTATAATGTATTTGTCAAGATCAAGGCCATTGGAGATTATTTCTCTTATTTTCATTTTTGCACTAAAAATTCATTTTTACGTAAAAATGAAAATAAGAGGTACAATCACCAATGGCCTTGATCTTGACAAATATTATTCAGAACATGATCCTGAATAACATTCAAGAGATTTTAGCCGTCGGTCGAACACCTTGTATAATGCTAATGCCGGCGATATTGTAATTTTCAAGCCTCATAACTCGAAAAGTACTTAATGAAAATGAACTTAATTATAGTGTTTTGGAAAGCTCTCGAGATAAGTTACAAGAATATGTAATAAAAAATGGGGGTTTCCATTTAAGAAAACATTAATGACCTTGACCTGATTTTGACAAGGTCAAGTCCACATTTCCATCATGTGTCCTCCTTCAAGCCATGCAACTTTCGTTCGAAAAATTTTTCAATAAAATCATCGATTCGTGAGATAATCAACCATATCAAAATAAAACACCTTGTATATATATATATAAGAATGATTTGATTTAAAATTTTTGTTCGACTTGAAAACATATTGTTTTCTAATTATATATTCAATTATGATGTGGAAAAAAATTATATGAAATTTTTTTGCACTATACATTAAAGTAAATTAGTTTTTTCATATATCATCACGTATACAAAGGGGTGGGGAAATTACGAACACGGGATAAATACGCCTGTATACTGCTGCAGTAGGAGAAGCGATAAGCTCTTATTTCTTGCATCCAGTGATAATCTGATATACATTTAGTGCCGCACTATACGGTATACACGTGATCATAGAACACGCCGTTTAAGGTAAATGCTATTACATGTTTTAGATGATTTTGATGTAGGAGAGAGAGAGAATGTGGAGGAATTGCGAGTAGCTAAGGAAAAAATTGAACATAATCAATGATTATTTAATTATAAAAGTCTTCATTCAAACAATATTAGCTTTAAACTACAATAATTGATATTAATATATTATTAATATAAACTATAATTGTAAACAAAAAATAAAATTAATTCGACATTGCTCCGCGTGACGGCAATTTCGAATGGTAAGTTTTATTTTTTTTGTTTAAAATTATAGTTTATATTGATGATATAAATATTATAACTGTAGAAATAGTTTAAAGCTAAATAATTATTAATAAAAGTATTTTTTAAATAAAGATCTATTAATTAATAAATAATTATTATTATTTAATTTTTTCATTAGGTGTTTACAGTTCTCTCATTCACCTCTATGTCCGATAGAACAAAATATAAATTAAAAAATATATCGAAAATTTTTTTCGATTCACAGATTAATGAACTGCTAAAAACTTTGATTGATTGTTATAAAAGCTAAAGTGGAAATGTTGGACATGTACAGACTAAATTGTTCTATATTTATTAACCCGAGAATAACAGGGTGTTTTTATATCCCAACCGGAAGAAAATATGAATTGATCTAAAATGAATATTGTTTTCATTCTTTTTCAATAACTATTCTTTATGACCCTTTAAATATGCAATTTCATTCGAAAACCCGCAATAAAAAAGCGTTATATTAATTAAAATTCATTATTTTTATAAATATTATTATAATAAGTACTTAACCTGCTTATTCCGTTTAATATTTGTTTGTGTGGTCTCTATTTATTGTTTTCAAAAAATTGTGAATAAATTCACATCCGTAATATTTTTAAATGCCAATAAATAAAAAAACAATCAATATACAATATGTTAATGCTTTTGAGACTTCCATGGTTACTTTTTATAAAGAAGCTAAGCATTTTACGAGCTATCTTCAGATCCATTATTAGAATGTCAATATTTCGTGAACATAGCAGCATTTACTTCCTACTGTATCAGGCTGCTCCTCGCTGATAAAGTAAATTGCAATGTTCACAAAATATTGGCATTCTAATAATGGATCTAAACACGGAGATATAATCCGCGAAACGCGCAACTTCTGTATACAATATGTTGTTAATAATAGTGATTTTAATCGAGATATAAAGATATCCTTTATGTAAAAAGATGAGATAATTATTATATTTCCAGATTATATAACGTAAAATAATAAAAAAAAAAATATATTTTTTTAACATATTTTACAAATCTATATACAGTTGGATTTAAATAATGATATGTGAAAGAATTAATTTATTTCAAATATCTAAAAAAGAATTTGTTTCATTTCTCATTATTTCTACAATTTTATATAGCTATATTGAGAAAATAGGAGCTTTCAATTAGAAATGTAATTTCATAATAACAAAACATAAAAATTAAAGTAAAAGAAAAATGTTTTCAGAAAATTTAATTTAGATATTGCAATAAATTAATTAAGAATTTGAAAACTATTTAGAGAAAGAAATTTGATCGAATGCACAGATAATGCCATAAAAAAGTCATTGCTGTAAAAGTTGCTTTGGGTTGATGTTCCATATAGTCAGACAGAGATAATTGCAAACTAAAAAAACTATAAAAACTGTCGAAACATATTTCTAAAACTTTCAAACTTTTGATGGATTTCCAACCTAGTGAAACTGCAATAGTGTTATCAAAAAAATATTACCAACAGTTCAGAGATAATAACAAATCGCGCTTGAAGGATACTCCTGGAACAAAGCTCTCCGGGAATCAAGTGAGGGATTCAACAGCAGCGACAGGCGGGAGCGTCGCTTCGGAAACAATACGGGCGTCGCATCAAAAAGTTTTGCCGGCGCGGCGCAACGCAAAATTTTATTAGGGAAATCAAAGATGTCGCCTGTCATGAATGCGAATTACAAAGCAGGATAAAGATTGAATCGAGTCACACTCACCAGCACAGCTGTATCCATTTTTATGAAGTATATAGCCATCCCTGCAGTCGCACTCGTACATGCCATCGTGGAGTTCGTAACAGAGCTGTTCGCAGGGCGATCCGTGCCCGCATCTTCCTGAAACACGATAAGGAAACGGGGACGTGAGTAAGTTATGCGTACCGAGGGAATTTGAGGTGGCGCGAAGTGGCGAACAAAGGGAGAAACATCGAAATAGACGACGGCGATGAGTTGCAAACGCAACTGTTCGCGCATTCTCCGTTCTCATCCCTAATAGCGTATTTACACAACACTATCTTTGGACGTACTCTATAAAATCGATTCATATAAAAATTATAATGTATAGATGTAGTCTTACGTGTACCTGCACTTACGTTTTCAGTGCTACTCACCGATTTTTTAGTATAATTAATTTTTACTTTTAGTTTTTTTATTGAATCTGTAAGGCCCCTATTCTGCAAAACCTGTTCTACATTAGGGTCGCAAGCCGTAAACTGTAACAAATTAGCCAATTAATCAATAGTTAATTATGATTGACTATGAAAAATAATCGGCTACACTAGGAAAAAAAATGTAGTGCCTTCAACAAAACTATTTAGTTGAGGCATTTTTTACAGCAACCAAATATTTTGTTTATGTAACAAAAAATTTAGTTATTTTTACAAAATTTCTATAACAAAAATATATGTTTATACCAACTAAATAATTTAGTTCGCATAAAATTACAGTTTTGTTTAACTAAAACAATTTTGTTCGGTATATTTCAACCAAATTTTGTTACATTTTGGTTCATAAAACAAAACATTTTTCCTAGTGTATGATTGGTTAATTTCTTATGGCTTGCGACGCTATTATAGAAAAAGCTTAACTTTTAACGCCAGTAATGATATTATACATTGTTGTTGCGCAGGTTTTATACATGATATAAAAAATTGCGCAATAACAATACACTGATACTGTCATTAAAAGCAGGGAACGGAAAGTTACTTTTTAAAAAAATAACTATATAGTTATCGTGTTATACTCGTTACCGAATCAAAAAGTAAATAGTTACCATTACTGATTCTTAATATACTTTTCCGTGTGCGTGCGCGTTACCTTTTTAATAAACAAGATCAGCCAAAACATTTTGCAATATTTCTTTGTTTAAATATTAATAAAAACAATAAACAATAATAATACTAAACCGATATGTAAAAACACAACTAAAAAGAAAAGTGCTTTTTCGGTTCGAACTTTATACATAATAATATTTCAAAGTGAGTTTATATACATTTCAAAAACCCTGATTAAATTTTCGATCTGGAAACACAATCCGAAAAAGTATCTGATATGATATTTTTCGTAATAAATTTTATAACACATTATACATGGCCTCATTTCCGTCAAACTTAAAGATTGATATTTATAAAATTTGTTCTTATGTTAATACAGCTCTGTGTTTGCTTTACGCCGTTTACTGTATTCTTAAAACGTCATAAACCAATCACAGAGCCGTATTAGCATCTTAAAACATTACTTAAAACGGTCTTGAAATGAGAACGAATCATGAATACCGATCAGAGATTGAGATTGAATACACAAAAAAATGATGTCATAAATAAGTTCAAAATATAAAAAGTAACTGTTCATTACCATTACAAAAAAGGTAACCCTTATTAATCAATTATAAAAAAAAATAACTTGTAACGGTATAACGGCGTTACTTCTATTCCCTATAATTAAGAGTTACAGAATAGGGAACAATAATGGGCTTTCTACAATAATTATTATAGTATATAGATAGCTTTATTATAGATAGTTTAAGCTATTACCTATAAGTTCTAAGTCTTAAGCAGTAAGAAATTGATCAATCATAGTCGATTGGTCGATTTCTTACGGTTTAAGACTTAAAGCTTAGGTAATGGCTTATTGTAGAAAGCCCATAACTGTAGAAATCAAACGTAATAAAGAATCACTGAGCGTTCACTGAGCTGCTTTGTCTGCTGAATGCATTATTTAAATATACTCAAATATACATTCTATTTCCTATTGTTATGTATCAAGAAATAAATGTTTAAATTATTTCATATTGTTCATTTTATTTTGAACATCGACAAGCTACTATGGTTCATCCTGTATTAATTATTTACCGTTTGCTTTTTGATAAACGGTTTTTTATAAATTATATAGCAAATTCCCGCAAGTTATTACTCTGCGTAACATTTTAGTCGCTATATTTCATATAGATACATTTTTTTATCGACATATCAACAATAATACCGAGGCGTAAAGAGAAGTTGCATGAAATTCACAATGAGAAAAAGATATTATATTGAAACACACAGGCAACTAAATGCCATCAAGCTAACTGCAGCATAAAACTGTTTCCTCCATTGCGATTTTATTTTGTTATTTAATCTAATGTCGCAACAACAAATTTACAAAAAATACATAGAGTTAAATCGTGAAAGGCGTACGAGACTTAAGATAACAGCGTGATAATTAATTGTTCATTATGCTGTAAAACAAAGGATTAAAATTTGTATATGACGTAAGAATTTTTTTTTAATAATAGTGGTGAGTATATAAACATAATATACAGCATAATTGAAGTATTGAAGATAATAATAAATTTAACTTATTTAGTGCAATGACGTTTACGGCAAAATCTAATATTTTAGCAATGTTTTTATGTAATTGTTTCTCTCTTTTTCTCATTTTATTCATATTTAATATATTCATAAATATACGAACAATTGTTAAACTACATTTACTTAGCAAGTCATATGTAAAACAATTCAGTAATTAACATTCGTTCAGTGCAACCGCCCAATACGATTAAAAATTTCAGTGCTGACGTTTTATGTCATGTAACAGTCGTTGCAACGTTGAAATTTACTGTAAACGTTTTACAACTAGCAATAAATTAATCAATTTCAGAGTTGCAATGCATGCTGGCAGTCCTTTTTATAAATATACCGAATCACTACACAATACGTTACAATGCAATATTCATCGAAAAAATAAGATAGAAAAAATGTACACCATATGCATATTATATGATATTAAAAATATACACGATTCATGAACTTATTTAACAAGTAAACCTACGGAAGTGTCACTGATTTTAATGAACCTTTGTATATTTGTAGAACTATGAAAAATATTTGACACGTATTTTTTTTATCGGCAAAGATTCGCTCTGAAGGGCGAAACCCTTTAAAGGTAAGGAGTAGATTTAATATATTAGGTGAAATAAGTTGAAAATTTTAAAAAGTAAAATAGGTTAAGGAGTTTTTGGAGTTGCTGAAATTAAATCTTATGTCAAAAGTATGAAAATTCGAAATGGCCGACTCAATATAGCTTATTTCACCTAATATATTAAAATATATAAATCTACCCCTTATATTTAATGGGTAGTTTTCACCCTTCAGAACGAACCTTTGCCGAGATAAAAAAAAATACGTCAAATATTTTTCATAGTTCTATAAATCGAAAGTTTCATTAAAATCGGTGAGTGACACTTCTGTAGGTTTACTTGTAAGTAACAACTATTTAACGAAAAACAGATATTTCGTTCGATCTATTTAGCAATAAAAATCAGTTTATTTATCATAAAAACTGAACAAGATATGGAGAATTGTAAATTAATTATTTTATTCCGACATTTGTGAATTATTTCTTTACTAGTATTATGTATCTATTTTTTAAAATTAATTATTTTAAATATTGTCTAGTGAAAATATTCGTATTTTACAAATCAATAAAGGATATGTTACTGTGTCGTATTACCAATTCCGCTGCTGCGCATCGTATCAGTACGTGTTAAATTATTTCACCATAAAATACACGAATTTCGGAATTTTGTATTTTAATTTGAAGTAATGGATCCGTAAGAATTATGCCATACATACAACAAATTTCAGTAGTTAAAAACTCAAATTAATGGAATTATAAATAAATATAACGTTTCACAAATCCACTAAGAACATATTTTAGCAGATTGAATAATGTATGTGATATCTTTATATAAGGAATTAGAAGAAAAAATTAATTAAACTGTAAAACTGTTAGATGTTATCTGAGCTGTACGAATCAATAACTACGATAGCATTGATCAGTTTAAATCGCCTCATAATTGAAAATCTTGTGGCTTCGGCGTTAGCAATCAAAATTTTTTTATTTGAATTAATCTTCGAAATAAAATATTGAATACGATAATTGTGAAATATCTTTTTTTAGCCCTTTGAACTGGCGACTCCGTTTGGGGTCACCCCCTTTTATATTATAAACTGCTCACTCAATTCTTATGAAACTTGGCTACGAGGTAATTTGATAATGCTTTATTCGAATCTGAGGTCAAAAATAAAAAATTCAAATGATTCAATAATGGTAGACAGAATTTTTGATTGTCACAATTTGATTTTAGGAAGTTTTCAATTTCGAAGTAACATCAAATTTCCTGCAGTGTTTCGCTTTATTTGAAGCTCATCAGTGATATGCAAACAATTAGCACTGATTTCTAAACTGACTTTCAAATTCTGATTATAAGTCCTGTTAAATTAGATACTCCTTCATCAAGGAGGTTACTATCCTTTTGTAATTCGAAATTTTCAGACAAGATTCAAACTCAGGAATATACCAAGAACCTCCTAAAATTGAGTTTCACGATAATCAGATTATTTTTTTGAAATTTTAATTTTAAAATTCTGTAACCAAAATTGAATTCAGCAATCCCTAAAACTTTTAGGAAGCAAGATCTTCTATAAGTTATTATTTTGTTAAAAAGATCTGATTTTTAATGGGTTATTTACTGTTACTTATAAAATAATAATTCTAAATAATTCTTAATAATTCTAAATAAATTATACGTACAAAAGAATAGAGTATGGTAGATAATTATAATAAATAAGAATAACAAAACAATTATAGCAATTCACTTTAATGTTTTTAAAACTAATAATTTAATTTATTAAAAAATAACAATCATGATGGTGTGTGTATCATATTCACGCGTACGCGATAATATTTAAAAGTAACTACTAAATCGTAATATGCAATTGTAAAAAGTACTGAAGATGAATAGCAAGATTTAGTTTTACGTCAATATTACATATTCATAATAATGATATATT